TGGCCAACTAGTCACCTCTGAGGATAAGACACATCTGTTTACAGGTGTGGATTTTAGTTGGTCAAAAGAGACATTAGGCTACTTAAAATAATAACTCAAGTTTTGCTTTGAACTGATCTTTCCAACAGAAATAAAAGGTTTCCAACTATAACAGTATTAGTGGTAATCAAGACAGCTGAAATGCAGTATGGGCTGGACTCTGAGTACGTCCTCATCGTGGTGCCCACAAGAGCACAGATGAACTCCGGACTGCAAGTTGCTCAGGCACAAGAACTAATGTCTAAGGGCCCCTGAAAGGCAGGTGGACCAGTTCAGAACTATATGTGTGAACCCCTTAGGAAGTACTAGCACATCATAAATACTGATTGGCTAGTTCCTTATAACTTTCAAAAAGTTCCTAAGATGATCTCACACAACACCTGGCTGTGGTGACTAACAACCCTCTAAACTATTTTTAAATGAATCACTAGCTGAATATTCAGGTTAGCTAATCAATTATCAAATTGTAGTGGACCTAAAGTGCTCATGTTTACATTATTTATATGCTAGATTCTATCACTTTATCTAGTTAAAATGTGTTTGCACATAGTCAAAATATGCCAAACAACTACATAAATAATCTTCAGAATGCTTTATCTAAGAACTTACTTCCACTATATCATATTGTGGTTTTTATTCCCAGTCAAAGAAATCTATCTGGCCTACATAGGAATATACATATCAAAATTTTCAAATGAAAAAAACTATTTTAAGGCTTTAATGAGTACTATCAAAACATATTTCTATAGAAGAAAGAGGATTAAAATGGCAGAGTAGGGATATACTGAGTTCACACCTTCCGAAGACCCATCAAAACTAACCTACATATATAACCACTCTCTCTGAGAATGATCAGGAGACTAGCAGAACAGCTCTTCCACAATTAAAGACACAAGAATAGCCACATCCAGATGGGTAGAAGGGGAAGAGACATGGTCTAATAAGGACCTCCCCAACCCACCAGGCATGGCAACCACAAAGCAGGAGTATCACAAACATTCCTCCCTGAGAAACAAGGGGTTCAAGCCCCACATTGGGTAACCCCACTCTGTGGTCCCAAATAGCCAAAGCAATCTTGAAAAAGAACAAAGATGGAATCATGCCCTCTGATTTCAAACTATACTACAAAGCTACAGGGATTAAAACAGTATGGTACTGGCACAAAAACAGACACATAGATCAGTAGAACAGAATAGACTATCCAGAAATAAACTCATGATTTTTATATGGTCAATTAATCTATCACAAACATGGTAAGAGTATATACTGGGGAAAAAATTTCTTTAATAATTAGTGTTAGGAAAACTGGACAGTTAGATGTAAAAGAATGAAACTGGGCCACTTTCTTACACCATACACAAAATAAACCCAAAATCTAGTAAAGATCTAAATGTAAGATATGACACCATAAAACTCCTAAAAGAAAATATAGGCAGTAAACTCTTAGACATTGTTCTTAGTAATATTTTTTGGATCTGTCTCCTCAGGCAAGGGCAACAAAAGCAAAGATAAACAAATGGGATGACATCAAACTAAAAAGTTTTGCACAGCAAAGGAAATCATCAATAAAACAAAAAGGCAACCTACTCAATGGGAGAAGACATCTGCAAATGATATATCTGATAATAGGTTACTATTCAAAATATAAAAAGAACTCATAAAATTTAATATAAAAAAAATCTGTTTAAAAAATGGGCAGAGGACCTGAGCAGAGATTTTTTTCTAAAGAAAACCTACAGGTGGCCAGTAAACACATGAAAAAATGCTCCACATCACTAATTATGGGGAAATGCAAGTCAAAACTACAATGAGATATCACCTCACACCTGTCAGAATGGCTACTATTCAAAACAAGAAGTGACAAGTGTTGGCCAGGACATGGAGAAAGGGGGACCTTCATGCACTGATGATGGGACTATAAATTGGTGCAGCCACTGTGGAAAAGAGTAGGAGGTCCTTCAAAAAATTAAAAATGTATCTAGTAATTCCACTTCTGGGTATATGCACCCTTATGTTCACTGCATTTTTTTATAATGGCCAAACTATGGAAGCAGCCTAAGTATCTGCCAATAGATAAATGGATCAAGATGTAATATTGATACACACACACACACGCACACACGGAATGTTATGTGATACGTGTATATATAATGGTATACTACTCAACCATAAAAAAGAATAAAACCTTACCATTTGATGGATCTAGAGGGTATTATGCTAATGGAATAAGACAGAAAATGTTCTATGATTTCACTTACATATGGAATCTAAAAAACAAATCAAACAAAACACAAATAGATCCATAAGTACAAAAGACAAATTGGTGGTTATCAGAGGGGTAGAGGGATAGGCAAAGCAGGTGAAGAGATTAAGAGGTACAAACAGTTATAAAATAAGTAAATCATGAGGATGTAAAGTATAGCATAGGGAATATAGTCAATAATATTGTAATATTGTAATAACTTTGTATGGTAATAATTGGTAACTAGACTTATCTAGCGAGTATTGCACAGTGCATATAAATATCAAATCACTATGTTGTATACCTGAAACTAATATAACATTGTCAAACAGGCTTCAACTGAAAAAAAATTGTGTAAAATGAACTCAAAGTCATTGTTCCTGATTATGTGCACAGCCTGCCCTCTAGTGTTTCTTCCTAAACTCTAACAAATTTTAAATCATACTCTTAATCTCAAAATGTCAGGTTAATAGGATTAAAACTGTGTCATCTAATTAATAAACAAGGCTAAATCCCTGACACAGATGAAAATCAAGTCAGAGAAAAGTGAATGTCCTTCCACAAGCTGGTGGTAACTCACTGGAGAGATACTGCAAAGTTAGGGGTAAATATACTTACGTTTCATTTGGTCAATAGGATATTAATAGAAAGTGAGTTAAAATGATAGACGTATATACAAGATGTGACAGCCTTGTAACTAGTAGCACTGGTGTTATTTTATTACTATATTAAAGAAACATCATTTAATATTGGTTAAATAAAGGTGGGTTTTTTTTCCCCCAAACTAACAAGTATAAAAAAGCAGATAAATATCCCCTTTGGGAGGAGTTAAGATAATCTAACTTATTTTTATTAGATTTAACTTTATTGAAGTATACATTTGTATATGGAACGCTTGTAACTAATGTATGTGAAATTAAATTTTAAAGGAAATTTATTATCTGAGAAAAAAAATATTTAACTGTGCACTATTTCATATATCCTAATGGGTTTTATTAAGACATATGAAAAAAAACTGTGAGGCTGTTTTTACTTTAATTAAAAAAAAAAGTAAAAGGAAGAAAATATTGAACTACATAGGTAAGAACTTACTTGAATTTTGGAGAGGAAAAAAACCCTCTAACATATTTTAGTCAATTCTGTGTTTGTGGATGTTCACTGTTGACAAGGAAATAAAATGAAGTATTGATTCTATGGAGCTGTGATCCATACTATTTGTTGCCTTAAATTTCAAATACTTCAGGTGATGACCTTATTTAACTGTCATAAAGAATGTACACAAAATAGGGACTTGGGGGTTTTTTAAAAATCATATTCCAGGTTTGCTTATGACTCAGACATATTAGTATAAATTGTCTAGTCATAAAGAAAAATTGACAGAAAAATGCTTTGAATCACCATATGTTTCCAACTGATGCCAACAGAGACTAATCTAATGGAAGGCACTTGATGCAGTTTATTTTTCCTTTGCAGTAACAGCAGGAACATGAAGTCACCACTCCTGGTGTTTATTATGTATCTGCTGTGGTTGAAAGACTGTCACTGTGCACCTACTTGGAAGGACAAAACTGCTATTCAAGGAAACCTGAAGGGTATGTTTAGTTTCTTTATCTGCACCGTGTCCTGTTTGCATGTTTGCACGTCCTGCTGGCATTTACAGTGATTTACAGTTGAGAGATAACTGCACGCATTACGGCCTTCTACTTTCACGGTGAAACGTTCTCTAGGCACTTAAACCAAGCAGACATGACGCCAAACATCTGGATAAAAATAGAAAATTCCAGCCGAGTATCTGAGAACATTAACATATCCAGATGTTTGCTATCACATAGATAAAACTTGCCAACTTTCTGACTGCATTTCTTGGTATCATCCAGATGTTTGGTGTCCTCTAAGCACAGTTTTAATGAACAGTGAAATTCTTTCCTAGCTTTTGAAAAATTTAAACAATTAAAGTAATCTGTACAGTTATCCTTGAGATAGTAAAAAGAACGGGTTATAATGACATTGCATCTGGTTGGTCTCTGCTCATTAACTTGTGTCCTTTGTTTGATGATATATGCTTTGGGTATTTAACACTTAAGAGAATAAATTAGTCAAAATGTTGTTTTTAGGGGGGTCTGTAATAGATTTAGAGGCAAAAATAAGCTCCTTTGGAAGCACCATGGCTACTGTTAAGAAGAAATGACAGACAATGAATTTCATACCCACTAAAGGCTTATTAAAGGTGTGTAAGAGACGTACAGTAGGATTTTAAAGAATACTGCATTACATAAGACACTTTCAAAGTTTGATGCCTCATGGGGAGGCAACTGAAGCTGAAAGAAAGGGAAATAATTTACTGTGCTTGAGGTTCCCAGTTGGCCATTTAATACAAATTGTCTGTGAAGAAAATTCAAAATTTTTCCTAATATAAACACACTTGGGTTTTTAATGAAAAAAAAATTGGATAAATGAAAACAGACCCCGAAAAAATGACAAGAATGAAGTCAAATGAACTCTGACTTGTCCAGGAGCTCAGAAGTGAGGAACAGAAGGTACCGTCTGCGTGGCAGCCATGTCCATGTGGCAGCTGACAGCCAATTCATTAGGATTTGCTTTCAGAGTTTGATGTTCTGAAAGAACAACTATGCCTCTATTTAGAGGACATTAAAACCTGATGACCTTACTGTATATGGATACACTGTAATCTGATCAGATCCCAAAGATAAAAACTGCAATGTATCTTTTAGGCTCTTCCAAGGCTGGAGAGAGAGATATAGATGAAGAGGTGAAGAAGGCTTTGATTGGTATGAAGCAGATGAAAATCATGATGGAAAGAAGAGGGGAGGAACATACCAGCCTAATGAAAACCCTGAAGAAATGCAGAGAAGAAAAGCAGGTACAGTAATTGAAAATAATATTTGTTCTTAAACATACTCAGACTGTAAGTATAAATATGGAATTTCCTGGTCCAATTGATGAATTACTTATCTTCCCTAACAATAGATTTTCTTGAGTGCAGCCCTTACTGGAGTAAAAGTTTGAAGGAAATTTCGAATGGGCCTTTTTAGGACTCCAAGCCCAGGAATTGAGGGGGGATTCATTTGGGAAGTGTTCCTCTCTTAAAAATGCTTTATCCTTAATCCCTTCTGATTTAGGATATTGAGTGAAAAGTGTTTGGGGAGTTTTTGGCTAGATTAGTAGAATCCAATGTTTTCTCAATATCCCATCCCTATTAAAAATTGCTAGCACTCACTCCTACATGTATGCATGCTAGTTTATGAATTAAACATGTGAGTTGCTACCATTAATATCTCAAGGCACAAAATATGCTTAGCGCAAGGTTCATCATTAGCAAGAGTAGATGAAATTTAGATTTCAACTAATCTACCAGATATTCTGAAATTTTTTAGCCAATTGCCAGATCTGATTAGATCAAATTTTTACTTTGTCACATCCAATAAAGAGCTCAAAATGAAAATATATCAGCTCTGCCATTTGCTTCTTATTTACCTGAGCTTAATCATATTTTTTAATTTGCTGGGTTTGGGGTATTTCTCCTCCCTAATAATCTTTGACACCCCCTATCCATTTAGTGAGGGCTAGTTTCATTAAAACTAGAAAGTAAAATCCACCATTTACCTGAGTTCTCTTAAAATGGCAATTCACTGCAGTCATCTCCAAGTGAACAGAAGAGAAAGGCAGCAAGTGTCCACGCCTTGCCTCTGGAGGCGGGGGGCCTCTTCCCAGACCCTCACAGCCAGGTGGCCACAAGCGATGGTTGGACATAAGCAGCACAAGAGAGCACCAGTGTACACTTCCAGAGCATCTCCCTCCACAGCAACAATTCACTACCCAAATCTGGATGTGTGATCTGGTTCTTGGTTGTGTTGTGCTCTTGGAGGTTGAGTGGAAGGAAACCAATTAACAACATGCCAGGTGCCTTCCTTGCTTACCCCACTTAATACAAAACCTTAAGAGATGAATCCTATTGTCATTCCTTTTTGCTAAGGAGGGTACTACCTTATAATAGTACATCAGCCTAATCAATTTTTTTATTCAAATACCTTTACTTAATAGCTGTAGTTCAAATGTCTCTTACCAAAGGGGAATAAATACACATTATCCAAATGTCCACAAATGTTAAGAATCCTTCAGATGTTACAATGTAAATCTTAATGTGGCTAAATTATAGACATTGTGTGGCTCATAGTTTAATAACAACAACAAAACACTCAAAATAATTAATTATTTTTAAAATCATTTTCTGACATTACCCTTAAATCAGAGAGGAAATCAAAATTGCAACAAAAATAATTTGGAAGATATTTAAAATTTTAACACTGAGAGTAAATTAATTTAAAACTCCATTTTCATTTTTAAAATTATAATTGTGGTAACATAAAGATAATATAAAACTTACCATCCTTATGGAAAAACATATTTCAGGCAAACAACAGAGAGAAGAAAGCAGGGTTTGCAGTACTAATATCAGACAAAATAGACTTCAAAACAAAGAAAGTAACAAGAGATAAAGAAGGACACTACATAATGATAAAGGGCTCAGTCCAACAAGAGGATATAACCATTCTAAATATATATGCACCCAACACAGGAGCACCAGCATATGTGAAACAAATACTAACAGAACTAAAGGGGGAAA